AAGGAATATGCAACTCTGCACTTGACCCACGTTTATCAAACTCGAGCACAAAAAAGCCACGGCAGTTGGTTTACCTTTTTTGGATCACCTGGTACTCTAGCTACCGTACTTACAGATGTCACCTTGGTGTTTGTTTAAATGCACCTCTTAGGTGAGAAGAGAGCAGTGTACGCCAACTTCGTGGCTGAGCGGAGGCCATTGAATTTTTAGGCGGAAACAAACCCCAAATCCCTTTAACCCTGCTTCCTCATACGCATTAACAACACTTATCAAGTAAAAGGTGTTCTCTTCCAATCAATCTGTTCGTTCCAGAGGTGGAGGAGAGGGCTGCTGAACCCGTCACACCGATGGCAGCGTCGGCGGACCCTCCCCCGTCCAAGGCCGACATGGACCTTGCAAGGTAAACTGAAAACGCCAGACTTAACCTTTGTTTCACCCTCAACGTTAGAAAACACTACAGATCCTACACGCCCTCCCTTAGAACTTATTCTCGGTAGCCGTAAAAGTGAGGGTAGCCCTGCGACACTTCAGCTCAACTGGTCATCGAGCGGAAAGAACGAATGCTAACCAGAGGCAAAGAGGACCACTTGAAGAATCTACACCAACTGGCAGGGCGATGATTTCGCCACATACATAAAAATACAAGGGTTGGATAACCGTCTAATTAAGGCATAGAATCCCACTGTCTTGCACTGCATCAACTGCACCGGTCGGTTAAACCCGACACCTTTATACTCTGAAAGTAGGTAGGCCCTTCTTTTCCTTGTCGTGGCTCTCATTCATTCTTGGAATCATCATTCAATTTCGAAGAGCATTCACGCCGTTTCCTCTTGGACTCCCGTGAGGCCATATTAGTAGTAACTCTCAGGGCTCTCCTGCTTTTTACCAAAAGGTTAGGATTATTTCACCGGCTAGCAGACCAATACCAGTAGAAGGAAAGGGGAGACATCGTTACGTGTTAACACAGGCAAGAAAGCCCGGATAGTGAAAGTTCTTGAACGTCAGAACTTGGCTTGAGGTGCACTTTTTTAAGCCGATCTTTGACGTATCACCAAGGCCTTTTTAAATTTTGCAGAAGGTGCCTCCTTTACTTATCAAGACGCTAAGACCACGACGGCCCTTTTGCCAACAAAAGTGTCGATGAGGTTTTCAATATCCTATTCGAAGCTGCAGCACTACAATGTACAACGTAGACGACCTCCTGGTGCAGCCTACCAATGTCACCGACAATAAGAGGGAAAAGTGTGGAAGTTGCTAGCTAAGTACATGAATGTACTCGCATAACAATGAGTTAGGTTGGGAATAGCACGCATCGTAAAGCATACGATGGACACCGACGAGGCTAGATTGATCTGGTAGGCACCCAGTCGCATACCGGCTTGTTGACGAGAGGCTCGGAGATGAGGTCGTCGAATTATAGAAATCACCACGGACTTCACTATTGCTCTGGTAAAGATGAAGGATAGAAGTCTCTGCGAGTGCGTCGATTGCGGACAGATGAATTCAGTAACAAACAAAGAATCCTTCCCAACACCCTACATAGACGATTCGTTAGATCTCCTAAGCAAGTCCTAAAATAGAAATGACAGAAACAGACAGAAAGAGGGCAGCGTTTATATTACAAAACGGGCTTTGTGCATCTCAGACAATGCCTTTTGGATCTGTAACGCCTTACGCAAACTATGTTGATTGGATTATTCCCGGTACATTGTATAATGTATTTGGACAACAGGAAGCATAGTGGCAACCTGAAATATAGTGATGGACCTCGTACGAGACAAAGGTTTAACTACGAACACAAAGAAATGCCAATTTCTACAACGCTTGGTCACATTTTTTGGCCATACTATCTCATTGGATGGGATAACGGTTACTAAAAGCCTCATACTGTAAGTGAGAAACTGACCAACATTAAACAATCAGACGGAACCCCGTAGTTTCCTAGACTGGTAGGCTACTGTGGGCGTTTGCAAGCCTGCTACGCAAAATTGCGGAAAAAATGTGAAAAAAACCTTAAAGTGAGAGAAAGAGCATGATGAAGCGTTTAAAGAACTGAAGTGAATCCTCTTCTTCACACCGAAACTAGCATTGCCAAATTTCGAGCCAATCGCTCCACCATTCGTACTGGGCACTGACGCTAGTTGGGAGAACACCATCGCTTACGGGATTACCAAATTCAACAAACAAATGAAACGGGAAAGGGTAACACAACGTAAGCTCGATGCTATATTCTCATGGATTGACAACTCACCCATTACCTGACAGCGGGGAAGCCCATAGTGCAAACAGGTCATCAGACTCTGATCGAGATGGAAACAATGATCGCTAAACAATTTGGAGGCATGTTATGATTTTGCAGTACAGTACAGAAAAAAGAATGGACATTGAAATGCAGATGCCCTGTTTTGCAAACCATCTTCACTGAAACCGATGGATTTTTCATAAATACCATATTTTTAAGCAAACCCATTAACCACTAGTGGAGAAATACCCAAAGTACCGACCCTGACCGAACTCCTATGTACGAGTGGTTCTTTACGTCTTCATCGGGCAAGATGGCCAAACGGATATGGCGGAAATATTCTGAACTATTCCTAGGGGGCAAGATTTCACTGTGCCGAGATGGGAATTGAGCATTCAAGCGCCCAGTGATCGTAGGTTTATTGGTATAAACAGTTATCCAAGGGTCACATGAGAATTTGGGCTATACAGGGGAAAAGAAGACGCCAGCTGCCTCGAGCAAAAGGTACTGGATGTCTTCGCTCACTCAAGGTGTACTTGATTTCCGCCGAACCTGCATTACTTGCAGCAGATTTGAAAGGCCTCATCTCACAGTAATCGCACCACTCCAGTCTATGTCTACAGGGTTTTCAGGGGAGAGAGTGGGTCCACTCCCCACCACAGAAAGAGGTAATCCACAAATCCTTCTTATGGTAGACTACTTAAAGGAGGTGATCAAAGCCGGCCGTATAACGACACAAGACGCTAAAGCGGTTGCTTTTGTATTTTCCAATTGTTGTGTTTGCCACCAAAGCGTTTCCTGAAAAGGTGTCTAGGGTTTAGGGTACTAAATTCGAAAGCCAACTTTTTATTCAACTGTGCAGTACTTCCGGCATTTCTAACACGAGATAATGGGCAGGTGGAAGCGACGAATGGTATTCTGATTGGACTGCTGAAGGCTTTCACTAGGCTTTATGCGCTTGACGGCGCCCAACAACAAAGGGCACTTCACTGCTCAAAATGCTCACAGGTCGTGAAGTGAAAGTATCCACTGATATTTTCTTGCCCAACACGAAAGTGGCAACAGAGTAGCCTATAGTGCAAATTGAGAATTGAGGAAGGACTGAGACAAATTGCCAACGTCATATATCGTTGAGAAGAGATATCGCTGGGGGCATAGAAAGCCTAATGACCTGTTCTATCACCTAGAGCACATTGCAGTCGCCGTCATCCGTGGAGCCAAGATGCATTCCAAATGACGAAAGTCGACTCACTAGTAGCCTACCCGGTTCATAGTGCACAAATTTATACCAGTCGCCAAATTCGTATGCAACTGAGGAGATACTTGACCGCAACGTCACTGATCCCTCTTGACAATTTAACCGAACTTGGAGCTTCATCTGGCTTGGAAACTGCACTCAGGAACAGAAAATTGTGCTGCCCATCATGCGTGTTCATGGACAGACGTAGGAACACTGACCCAAAAGCAGGTTTTGCAAGGAAGAACGGGATTTAACACACACAGGCCCGTGAGGGAAGGGTCGTGCGTCTGTTCCTCCTTGCCACATTGTTCTTACTTCGGAACTGTGCAGTCATATCAACCCGGGCTCTATTCAGCTAGTGCAGAAGTGGAGGAGGCATGGTGGGTTCACTTTATCAACAGCTTTATGCAGGTAGATAGGGGAAGTCTGTGACTAAACTTCCAGACGGTTCATGGCTAGCATCGCTTCAGTTGATGGTAGCTTTCCTGCAGCACATGGGACTAGGGTAGCTGCCGAAGGTGGACGGCAATTTCAGTCCTTCTGTTTGGGGCCATCACCATCCTCCTGTTCGTAGATTGCGTACTTCTTCCGCCCTGTTAAGGTTTATCACATAGCAGTGAAAATCAGGATAGGTGTCCTCCAGGATCGGGTTTGTTTCTCACTGCCACCTATGTAGCATCCCTAGACTTCCTTGAAGACGAAAGAAGATACCATGCTCGGTTGGAATATATGTATTCGGGATACAGAAGGTGCTAGGGCTACTGGCATGGCAGGAAAACCATCCCATCTGATGTGGTACCGTGGCCAGGTTAAAGGTAGCTCCCCACCAAAAGCAGGAGTTAAGCAGTCAACGTAACGCATATCGTTAAGGCGAGAAGCAGTCAATTTACGTCAACCGTGCAGCTGGGCCGAGACTTTAGCTTCTAAGGAAAGGCCGAACTCTGGTTTCCTCGAAAAACTTTGCAACACGTACACCTCTATATCAAACTTTAAATAAGGGATGCCATCTTTTACGCACTCTTCTTGTTTTAGCAGAAGGAAACACGAGTTGGGACCGAGAATTATAATTTATAACAATAGCAAATTTTCACTAGGATCAAGGATAGGTCACCTACGTGTTCTAAGCAATAAAACTCTTTTTGGGATTCAAAATCAGTGTGCAGTATTATTCTCACGTGGATTATGGTATTCGTACCTTATTAATCGCTTGTCGCAGAATATTGCGCAGTTGCTTAATTAGGCCTATTTTGAGCAAAAAAACTACAACACTTAAAGAGCTAATTTTTACTTCTTCTTTATATTTAAGCAGTATATGGCAATGAACTTCTGAGCGTTTTTCTTTAGCCTGCATCTTATTTCTGATGTAAAAAGTTATTGTTATGTAATGCGCGAGTGTTTTCTGTGTGATTTTGAGAATTTTTTTTTGAGTTTACTTTACTTTTGTTCAACCGCATCAAAGTGCGAAGCTTATAATACACAGTCATTAGTTGGTGACGTATATCGGGCCTGGAGTCGGTGATGTCCCGGTCAGTGTTTGTGCTTGTCGCGTTGGCCCTTTTTGCCGTTGTTCTTGCGGATGATACCTCAAAAGTCATTGTTTTGACTGAAAGCAACTTTGACGAAACAATTTCAGCCCACAAATATGTTCTTGTTGAATTTTGTATGTTTTTGCTTTGTGAACGACTATGTTGATGTAGATGCTCCATGGTGCGGACATTGTCAACGCTTGGAACCTGAGTACAACAGGGCTTCTATTTTACTTGCTGAAGAAAATTCGGAAATCAGACTCGCTAAGGTTGATGCTACTAAAGAAACCGGTCTCGCATCGAAATATGAGGTTCGGGGTTACCCAACTCTGAAACTTTTCAGGGAAGGTAATCCCACAGAATTTGATGGTGAACGATCTGCTGAGGGTATTATTAGCTGGCTTAAGCGAAAGACGGGTCCAGCTGTGCTAACCATTGAATCCGCAGACGAGTACGAAGACATCGTTGAAAAGAATAGATTTCTTGTTGTTGGCATCACTGACAACACTGAATCCGAAGATTGGAAAGTTTTTCACACTGTTGCTTCTAATTCTGATGAGGTGTTTGTCCGTCCTACTGCCAAAAGTGTTCTTGATCATTTCAACTACAAGGATGGTGTAATGATCGTCATTGTCAGGAAGGTATGTGGTTATCTGTCTCCCCTTACTTTTCAACCAAGAATTTAGCGCAATTTTGCCAAGTTTTTGTTATTTTAGTTTGATGATCCTACTGTTGTGTATGAGGGCAAAATGACAGTGGATGAATTAGCCAAGTTTATCAAAACTGAGAAAGTTCCTCTCGTCACCGAGTTTAATGAAGAGTCGGCCGTTGTCGTTTTCAGCAGTGACATTAAGAGGCACATAATTGTGTTCATGAGAAAGAGTGATGACGTCTACCGCCCGTACATGGATGTCCTGAGGCAGGTTGGTGCTGAATTTCGCGGTCGTGCTCATGTTGTACACATTGACATCGATGACGAAAATCATGAGCGTATTCTCAGTTTCTTTGGCATCAAGAAGGAAGAATGCCCAACCTACCGCGTAATTGAACTAGACGATTCTGTTGTTAAATTCAAGCCTGAGGTCGTTGAGTTCACATTCGAATCCATAAAGGCCCTTGCAAACGATGCTATTGACAGAAAAATCAAGCCTTATCTGCAATCTGATGATGTTCCCGATAACTGGGATGCTGAGCCTGTCAAGGTACTGGTCGGCAAAAATTTTGACTCTGTTGCACGCGACCCGTCAAAGGCCGTTTTTGTTGAATTCTATGCGCCGTGGTGTGGCCACTGTAAGCAGTTGAAGCCTCTGTGGGACCAACTTGGTGAGGCCTACAAGGACCACCCCGAGGTCATCATCGCCAAGATGGATGCCACGACGAATGAACTGGAGAACATTAAGATCGGGAGCTTCCCTACTATCAAGCTCTTCCCAAAAAATAGTGATGATGTGAGCAAATTTTTAATGCTTTCTCATTGCATATTGGCTAAATATAAGCATTTTATTCCCCTATCAGGTTATCGACTATAATGGGGATCGTACAGTCGATGCTTTCATGAAGTTTATCCAGAAAGAGGGCAAAATTACAAAGCCCGTCGAGGAGATTGTGAAGGAAGAATTGTAAACTCAGTGGTGTACAGTGTGTTCCTTTCGAAGTTTTGTCAGTTTTTCTTCCTCAATCCCGTTACCTCTTATCTCTTCTTCCTGGTTCATGTTTCGCCTTATTATCATCCTTTTCTCCTCCCATGACGTATATGTAGTTTTTATCCGATGAAGCTTCGTGGCTCGCTGCGTTGGGAATTCACCTTCCATTAACCTTTGATTAAATACCTTCGATTAGTTCCACCTCCCTACTTTGTGAGTTTTTGTAATTTGGTTTGTAAGGTGGGTGCGGCAAGTCTCCTCTCGAGTGTTAAGGGTGAATTCCAATAATGGCCTATACAGGTAGGGCATATAAGTCGTGAATGTTTGCCGAGTTGGAGTTCCTAGTGGTTGTTCAATGGTTTTGAGGTACTCTATGATGTTTTCCCACCGCATGGGCCAGGGCCTCGGGGGTGCATTGCGGTGCATTAGGTGATTGCTCAAATTTGGGTTTTGGGAATGTGCCGTGTGAACCACCCCCATTGTACCTCTTCTAGGTGGCCTGTTCCCCGGACCATGCCAAAGCCCCCGATGTCTTTCCCATGTCGACAATACATATTCCGTCCTCAGGGAAGTCTCGACGCGCTGCATTGGCGGCAGTGGAAAACGAGCCCGGTCCTGTAGGACATCCATCTTAATTACTTCCGCTGGGTGGTAAACCTCGGCGTGACGGAAGATATGCATATGCCGCGGATGGGAGAATCGGTGAAGACTCCTAAAATAAGGGACGAAAAAGTGACATCGACCTTCAGCAACTCTCACAGTCACGTGGTCTGCAGTAAAATGATCAACAACTGAATTAACACTAGCTGTAAACCACTTGGGAAAGTTCGTTGCGGAGCTGCCTACCCCTCCTGCATTAGTGTATTAATTACGTAAACCCGCGATACCTCCTTCATTTCGCTACCAGCCGGATAGGACCAGGTGGATACAGCTGAACCACACTGAAGTGAGGACAAAGTGGCAAGCAGGAAGAGACGTGTAACTCTACCCAAACGGAACTGTTTCCAATCTCGTCCTCTGCCGTTTGACTCTGATTTCGGGCCAGTGTTCCCACGGCTAGCTGTGGACGCGTGTGATGGCCAGCACAATCTCTTCTGCCTGAAACCAGTTCCTATACAGACTGAAACCTCAGACCCAGTAGAATTGCCAAGAGGGATCGGTGACATTGCAGCCAAGTGTCTTTGCAATTGCAAGGGAATTCAATGATTGGCGCAGTTGGCTTGTGGGTTTTTTTCTTACGGCACCGGTTACGTAATGATGGCTGACGCAGGATGTTGACCAAGGGGAGCGCAGTAACGTAGCCCAAAAGGGAAGAGAGGCTTTGTAGTAGGCTAGCTGTTTATTTGCCTCTCAGTTTCGGCAAGGAGATCACTTAGGCGATTCGTTATTGCCCCCTCCCTCAGAGCCATACCATTAGCTCTAAGCCGTACTTTGTGTAAACTAGATGTCGTTTGCTCAAAGCTTTTTTTTGTACTTTTAGGTAATGTTTGCAATTTTGAAAGGTTTTAAAAAATAGGTAAGTTAAAATCAGTTGAAATGTAGATACCCTCGTTTTGTAAGAATGGTTGTATAAACGCTTAATCTTTTCAATGCACTTGACTAAGTTATTTAAAAAATAAAAACTTGTTCTATTTAAAAAAATAAAAGTACGCTCGGTATTTTCGTGACCAGTGATCCTTGTTATTATTGATTGTCTAAGAAGTGCATTTTACAAGTGAGACTGGCTAGTGTGGTTGAACTGGAGCTCCGATGAGTATGGCGACGGTATGTCGGATTGGCTACGTTATTTGAATTGTTCAGCATCAAGGTACTGCTGAAGATACTGAGTTCAACGCGATTCTTAGGGAAAAGGGCATCCTTCCCCCCCTTCCTAAACCAACAGAGGCAACTCCTCCGCCATCTCCTGATAAGCAAAGTAAAAACTTATAGAATGCTTTAACTATACGCATACTTCCACTTCCTTATCTTCTAGGGCGGGACCTTGTTCAAGAAATGTCGTACAGCCAGCTAACAGAGGAACTAGAGGCTCTGGAAGATCGTGGTGGTGTCAACCTGGAAGAGGATATGAAGTTTCTTGAACTCTACCGCCAGAAACGTCTAGAAGAGATGCGTGAGGCTGTTCGGAAAGCGAAATTTGGCTCTTACGGTGAGGTTACCAAGTGTGATTGGATACAATCCGTGAGTAATGCTGGTGAAGGCGTGAATGTCGTGGTGCATCTCGCACAAAAAGGGTATCTATCCTCTGGTGACCTCTGTTTTTCGTCATATACACCAACTTATATGCTTCTCTTAATCAAATCAGGAATAAAGCGTGTACGGTGGTCGACCAACACTTGCGAACGTTGGCTGCGCGTTACCCCACTGTCAAATTTCTCCGTGGCGAGGCATCCCTCTGTGTTCCCAATTTCCCTGATTCCAACAATCTGCCCACAATTATTATCTACTGTGAGGGAAACGTGAAAGCCCAATATGTTGGCAGTAGAGCTCTAGGTGGCTATCCCTGCAGCATCAGTGGTTCGTTTTTGAGACTGTTTTGTTCCTTTGAATTCGTATCATTCCAGCACGTCACAGCTGCTGTTCTTTATTTGTAGATTTGGAAGAGCGGCTAGCTAAGGCGGGAGCGATTTCTCTTGCTGAAATGGATGAGACAGATGATAACACCCGTGTGGAGCGGTCGAATGGCGTCACTCGAATTCGCGCCGGCGGCACAAGTCGCTACAGGCAAGCCAGCGACTCCGACAGTGACTAGAGAGTCAATTATTGTACCTTTTCGCTTTTATGCTAATTTTATTAACGAAGTAAAGCACTTTCCCTCATATTACTGCCCGTTTAAACGGTAGGGAAAACGCTCGGAAGGGAATTCAGTAGAGTAGTTTATTGAGTAAAGAATTACAGTTGTGTGGATTTTGACGTGTATAAATTTAAACATTACATACACGAGTCTTGCTGGTAAAAAACGAACAAATACAGTGTGCTGCGTGTGAATGTGTACAGGCCAATTTGAGCAGACAGTAGAGGTACGATCAGTTCTCGGCAGAGCTGCCGCGATTAACTGTTAACGCGTACTGACTGGGTGCCTCTCCGCGATCCGACGGACCGATCGCATTTGTTGAGGCTAAAACAGTCCCGAAGTAACTTTAGAGCGAATGGTACCATAAAGCAGTGTGGTGGATGGGGTGGTTTGATTCATCTGTCATACTATTTGGTCCTGATATGATTTACCCATAGACATCTTGATGTATCACAAACTACGAACGCTGCGGTGAGTGCCTCAGATATTAACGACAGTAATCCTCGAAAAATCAGAGTCGGCTTTAAAAAAAGCTGAAAAATCGCTACGAGCTACGCAAGGCATAATGGATTATTCTCAGACAAACAGGAAGAATTACGAGATGAATGGTCTCAAAATTACAACTAGATGAAGTCGTGAATTTCATGCCCGATGACCTAGCCTTTCAAACAAATAGCGCAGAACAATAAAAACTCACAGGTGGCATGGATGGACGGAGTGGGAAGTTCTGCCTTTGGGGGAGTCACTTGGGCTTGCGATTTGTTCTGGCAGTCGGGTTCAAGGTCACCCGCCTCATCTGGGAGACCAGCCACTACGGAAAGCTGCTCCCTCATGAGACAGTCCATAAAGTCTCTACAGATAATTTTTCAGTAATTTCATAAAGAAAATGGTTTTCCAGATTATTTTTATTTGTAATTTAATGTTACGCTACTTTAGACTGACGTCGAATCAAGTCGCAACCTGCACTGAGCAGAGGGTAGGCGAATGCAACGTTAATGCTACGCGGAACATTAATTTTCCTGCAGTTCCCGGTTTTGAGAAACGAATAAAATCCATTCCAAAACAGTGAAAGCCGATGGTGACATCATGTGGTTTTATTGGGGAGCAGAAAAGTTTTTTTCTGAACCGTAGATACACTTACGTAATGCCGGGATGGAGGGGTTTCTTCTTTTCGCGTCGATAAAGACGAACAAACTCGTCGTGGCGTGCAGTCTTCTTCCAGAGGTAGTAGAAATGCACCAATTCGCCCACTGTCTTATGACGCAACTGGATGCAAAATGGTACCAAACACAATAACACCAACAGCACAACAATATGTTTGTGCAGACATACTTTAAAGAAAGAAACGTACCTTACTTTGTTGGATCTGGAAGAAGTTCTTATTGAATGCAATGAATCCTTTTTCAAACGCAGTGCAATCTGACTCGCTCCAGGTCTCCAGGTAAGGAAGAATTTCTGCCAATGGAACAGGTCAGGCTCCCATATTTAAGCAAAAGTAGAATCCACCTATTGCAATGATCTATGTAAGTTGATGCATAAGAGATGCAAAAGAGTGGAAAGTCGATTTAAAGCTATAATGAGGTACAAAGCTCCGTAAGCATTTCCCTACAATTCCTTAGGCGTTCACAAGCTTGATGAAAGTGATAAGATACCGCAGTAACTAAATCACGAGATAAGGCTACCGACGTATAACGCCGAGACTTTGGAGATTTCAAAATATAACCAGCAAAAATTGGAGGATTTGCGCTAGATTCCTAAATTTTATTATTACTGAAGTAAATTGAATAGTGAGTCATAACTTAAGTAGCCAGAAGACTTTTGACCGAGGAAATGACTAGCAACTGGAGAAGGTCCCTTTTAGATCGCTTGCGGCATCACAGCAAAAAAAATAACAACGGGAGGAGGAACAAAAGATTTGATCATATAATATTAACTTGCAACACTAGCGAATACATTAAGCATATTACTAACCAGTGGGTTGGACGGGCTTCATTTGGAGACGACTCAATGCCTCATCAGGATCGAAACTGCATCGAAGAAGGAGGAAGAGTGCCTATGGTGCGAAAAAAAGAAAAAAAAGGCAATTTGATTGCTTCCCTCGACTAGCTTTTATTAAGTAGTGAAATTAAACCTTCTCGTACAGACACAGAGAAAGTGAGCTTTTGAAAGCATTGGAAACCTCAGCTTTGGTTGAGCCCACTCCTGTTTTGACTTTAAAAATGATTTGCGCCTAGAATGAGCAAAGTTTAGGGTACTTGCAGGCAAAGGCACATTATCTTATATTCATACAAAAAGAAGATCGCTATCGTACAGCTAAAAAAATTCGTGGCAAATTAATAGGCTTCAGACAACATTTCCATATTTCCTTCCCACAAGGTCTCGAAGTTACCGGATATATTTAGTTTTAGACAGGTATGTCTACTCAGAAAGGGTTTTGTCTATTCCATCATTACCCTGGCATTTTCAATAAGGCTACCGACAAGTGTACCGACGGCACCAGAGACCCTTTGATGATCACCGCTGGGGACACAGTAGTCGAAATAAACATGCACCACTTGTGATTGTTGAAGAGGGTGTATGAAGGTGTAAAAAGAGCTGGTGAAGAGTTTCTGTTCTTATGAATACTTATTCTCGATTCCATAAAAATGTGGCGTTACTACTGTATGTTCATTACCCCAGACAAACACAACTTACGTACCACAAAGCACAATCAAATTGGTAAAAGCCAATTAGTAAGTAGGAGACATTTTTGGTGTGTTGTGTTGATGTACAATGAGGTTTCGGGTGCATTGGGGAAGAACATGTTGTTTAGGTGGCAGGCAATAGATTCCACAAAAAAAGTAGATCCAGTTTGAATAAGACTAATTAGCAAAAAAAGTAACAAAAGAGAAGCCATGGAAAACTTACCTGTAGGACTTCTAGAACTGCGTTACTCCATGTCTCAACTTAAGGTTTTAATAAAGATTAGCTTGATTAGATTACACACCTCCTTTCATAACTCGGACTGATGGAAACAAAGGATCCTATCAACGTTGCACTCACACGGATGTCTCTAAAACCATTATAATCAGAAAGAAACAAAGAGGACACTGGATAAGTGATTCTGAAAGGTTACTAGACAGGTGAACATCAAGACGAAAGAATTTTGCCGCAAGAATTGAGACAGGGTAATTTCAACTACCATTTATGGAAACAGCAGAAAAAGGGAGTAGTTTATGATGAATAGCTAAAAAGACAAAGCCACCGTGAAAAGTGAAAAAGGAACCTTTAGTTGACAACAATTTCATATGAGACAAGAAGCTCACTTCTTCGTCGTCAGGTACACGAGTGGTTGGTGCAGAGAGCGCAAGAATGCGTGAGTAGTTCTGCTGGTAGTGCTCCACCTCCACCTCCGATAGGTGACTTGGTTTCCACAGCATTCGCGCCTCCACGCCCAAGTGCGAGTCCGTCCGCAAGTTTACCGGCGGTGGTGTGGATGGCACACTGGCTTGGTACTCATCTCCCACGCGCATCTCCTTTGTGAATACAGAGGTAGATAAATAATATATGCTACTTCCTACTAGACATGCAGTCAAAGGGTGATGAATTCCCAAAATCAATCATTTCATTGAATAAGCCGTTTGTGAGCAACCGTTCCAAGTTTTGCTTCCATTTCACCCCCGTTCTGATGACCATCGTAAAACCATCTGACCTTTCGTGTCCATAGTCCGACACTGTTAAGAACTGGAACCAATTACATAGGGGAAATTTCAAATGTGTGTGTGGTCGGTAATTTGCGCACTCGGTTTCTCTCAACCACTACAAGAACGGTGTTGGGAGGAATGCCAACAAGTACACTTATTATCAATGGCAATATTTATCCCCTTTGTTATTTAACAGATTTGAGTAAAGTTAATAAATGGATGAAAACAGTAGCTATACCGAGCAGATTTTCACCGTTCATGGGATATTAAGTTCACCACGAACGCAATGCAATTTGTCAGCAGTTGTTTAGCCAACTACTTACCACACTCAGGCTAACTCAAAACAGTTGCGACTCAATCAGGTCCAGTTCTCCTCCCCAACCTTCTAGTAAAATGTCATGATGGTGGTTGTGACTAGAAGCCAGGAGCGCAATACATGAATGGCACCAGTATGACCAATTTCGAACCTCTAAATCCAAGTAGGCACGTCTTAGCACTGGCCACGCAAACTGGCAAGGGCTAAATTATGTTTCAAACACCCCTTTCGGACGTAGTATTAGTGTATGATATAATTTTAGCCCTTTCTCTTCCACATATCGTGTGCATAATTTTCGTGACTATCTTTCCACCGCTGCGAGTGAATATCTTGCATGCATTAAAATGCACTGGTAATCAGTTTTCCATAAAAAAGGAGGCGAATTTCATTCTGACACACGACAAATTGCCACTTTTAAAATGAAACCCCGAAAATGCAGAAGCTTTTGAACGTCCTTTGCATTACTAGATACGAAGTACCTCCATACATCACAGAGCGCAAGATGCCAAACAACTCCAAAAAGACTGATAATGAAAAGGAAAGTAAAAAAAAAAACACTTACACCACG